TAGAGAAGGCGATTCCCAAACAAGTAGAGAATCCTGTTATGGCGAGAATATCATCAAAGCTTCCAGCAGCCATCAGGAGGGTGGGGATTCCCTGAAGAACAACACACAGTGACATTAAAGATTCATGTTAGAGCAGAAGACTTGATCTTTTTTGACTCCCATGGAAGCTCTTGGGTTTGAGGAGCTTCACTGGAGGAGCCCTAGATCTTTTTGGTGATGCTTTCCCTTCCTTTAAACTTGAAGTGATTAAACGCTTTGAGAAATAGCTGAAGGGATTCTAGTGGTGTATTATAGGCATTGGGGTTGTTGTGAAAACCAATAAGGTGTACAACTCTTTTAGAAGAGTATTGCTACTTGATCAGTATCCTATCAAAGGTTCAAGTGTTGCTTAAGCTGGCTTTAGTGACTTTGTATGAGGTATTAAGGACCACTGTGGGTCTCCTAGAGGTCACTGTGGGTTCTTGTAAATGGGGTAGAGCATGATTAGGAAGCTTAGCAATCACTGAGAATGTGTTGATGGAGCTTGAGGATCTCTAGAGGCCCCTATATTGATTTTATTAATGGTGTCAATTGTTATGTAATGTTTAAAGTCCTGCAGGTGGTTCTGCTGTTATTTTTATTTTATACTTGCTCTGCATAAGCCTACACACATGTTTTCTCATGTCTATAGACTCATCTCAGGCTCATCTGTTTTTCCACCCATACGCTGCCCCTTGTGGCAGGATGAACCTTTCATCAGTCAAATGTAGTGATGATAGTAACGGGTGATAATTTACCTTCTCCACTCCATATCCTTCTCTCTGCAGGAGCAGCATTGAAGGAACAACAACTGCTGGAGAAACGGCAGCCAGTACAAAACTGCACAAACACAAATATCACAGGCACAATGAGTGTCGCTTTACTTACTTTGAATCTAGTCATACAGAAAGAAATGGCTCTGTGTGTGTGTCTAGGGATGGGTATCGTTTAGGTTTTATCCGATACCGGTGCCAAATCGGTACTTTTGAAACGGTGCCGGTGCTTAAACGGTGCTCAAACCGGTGCTTAAAGAATGGAAAACACAAAATTGGTCCAAAAACCTCTCATGTTCAGCTGTTTTTTTTGTAAAAAGATAACAATGTTAGCCTTTTCTGCAGCTATGGGGCATATATGGTATCACTCTTGGCTGGAAGCAGTGCTTAAACAATGGAAAAAACACAAACTTTGTCCAAAAACCTCTCATGTTTAGCTGTTTTCCACTTTTTCTTTGGTCATTTTAGCCTTTTTGGCCAGGGTGAAGGGAGTATCTGCCATCAAACAAGAAGACAGCCGCATGTAGCTATGATGATGTTTGCTAGTTCACCTTACATGCATTAATGTAATAACGTGGTTAGCCTACTCAACGTAAATTACACACGAACAACATTAAGCTACTCACGCAGAGAAGAACGGCTGCTGCTGCATCATCATCCTCATCATTTCTGCTACACTGGCAGGGCTAGGGGCCAGGACTCTCCTCTTCGGGTTTTTGGGGGATGTTGCTAACTCCGGGTCCATAACAGGCACCACACCCGCAGTAGATGTGCTCGGTGTGAGGTCTCGCAGCAAGCTATCAAATACGGCGCATTTCTCGGCTTTTAAAAAAAACGCTATGCGTCGCCAGGTGTTTCATCGGATTTGAGGTGTTACCTCCTTTGACAGTATCACAGTATCAGCTTAAAGCACTTGTTGCTGCTGAGTTTGCATCTTTTGCTGTGAAGTACAGCCAGACTTTTGACCGCTTCACCTTGGGCATTTTTAATCTGTAGCTCTGCTCTAAAAGAACGTACGTACCTGGGCCCGCCTACTATCCTCGGAAACGTAAAATGATTGGCTAGAAGTGTATCACATCTCAGGAAAAAAAAGCACCGAAATAAAGCACCGAAATGTGCGCTGCTTTTCGGTCTGGTTACTACCCGTCTTGTGTCCGCGGTTCGCTGTGTGTGTGTGTGTGTGTGTGTGTTGTGTGTGTATGTGTGTGTGCAAATTACCCCAGTATGAAACCCCAAACCCATGGCAGACCCAGCAGGAAGTGAGAAACCACAGCACACAATGCAGGCTTCCACCATACAGGGTCCAACTGCAACACGTACGCACACTGCTTTCAGTCGACTTAAAGCCTGCATGCAAACACAGAGTTAAGAGACTGCATTTGATTTTATGTGTGTAACTACAGCATTCAGGATTGTATGTTACAGATTGTACTGTACGTACCTCAGGGTTGAGGCCCAGACCAGCTCTGGTCAGGATGATGGACAAGGCGATGTTCCTCAGAGCTGCAGACCAGTGAGTGTCGATGAAGATGGCGTCCGTTATGTAAGGAACATTACGCAACAGCAGACCTGCCAGCAGCATACCTACACGCACGCACACACACAAGGTTTGTACATGGTGCACTAGTTGTAAGACCATACACTAACATAATCTGTGATAGTAAAATACAATGATTCAACATGCATCTGAAATTACAATTAAAATTCTTCTTAAGCTATCCAATATTGCTCTCCTCGTCAAATTACAGTATTGCTCATAATCAAAGGCCCACACCCCTGCGCCTCCTCCGCCTGTCCCGGTACCACAAATTCGTGTCTTACTTTTTTTTTTTTTAGGGCTCAGATTGCGTTTAGTCGACCCCGTCTAGCCCCCCCAACCGTGTTTTACTGGAATTAAAAAAATAATTACAGTAATTTTAAGTAGTGTATCAATATTTAAGTAATTTACACTATGCTGTAATTTTAGAGATGCAGGCTTTATTATTAAGGGGATTCGCTTTGCCTTTTTGATTTCTTATTATGTTGGTGTGTATCACTATTCAAATGGCCCTTTATATCACAAAACATATGTGTTAGATTTGTATTGTTGATTGTCATTTATGCTTAGCAATATCTACTCATATATGCTTAGAGTTGTATAATCAATGTCATATTGGTAGAGGTTTGATCCTTGATAGTCTGCAGAGACGTTGTGTGCATTCCAGAGTGCTCTGGCATTCACACCCACACATTGGGAGCATGGGAGAGGTCATACCTTATATTATTGTTTTATGGTAGGATAAACGTATCTATGTCTGTTTTAGGCTAAGTGCCTTTTGTTTAGATGCACTGCTGGACTTCCAGACCAGCAGGTTTAGAGAAGTCATTTATCGGGTCACACTCTGAACCCACACACACACACACACACACACACACGCACACACACATACTTACACAACGCACAGGCAAGGTACTCTTTGTTTGTATGTAGACGAGTAGGCAAATTGTACTGAACGTTCCAGCGAATAGGTTTTTTCTACAAACCTATCAATATGAGAAGGATTTTTCTCCCTTTCCTACAAAAAAAATACACAAATGCCATGAAACACTAAACGGCAAAGGCCCATGTGATAATGATGGAGCCAACTCAAACACTCTTCAACCATCAAAACTGTCCTATCCTAGCAAAAGGACTTTAGGAAAACAACAAAAAAAATGAAAAAGTAGTGGATTTTCTTCTTTTCACTTATTTTCATATGTATGGAGTGGGATTTTTTTTAAACTTTTTTGGTAAATAAACCAGAAAATATTGTCAACTTCGAATAACTTACTCTCAGGTCAGACAAAATGTTTCTGTCCTGTGCTGTTCAGTTCGTTCTTTTCTAGTCTACATGGTCTCGTTGTGTTTGTCCTGCAGGTTCTACATGGATGAACATACTGAAGGGTCTGCTGGAGGTGGTGGGAGGCATCGTAGCTGGTATGATCCTGGGCATGTTCTTGTACTGCTTCCCCAGCAATGACCAGGTTTGACATTATTTTTATATTAATATGATTTTTCTTTCTTTAATTGTTCATAAAATGTGTCTTTAATATCTTCTGTCTGATTGCAGGAGGATCTGGTATTGAGGAGGACCCTCATGTTGCTGGGTCTGTCCACATTTTCAGTCTTCTTCAGTCATGTTATTGGTTTTGCTGGAGCTGGAAGTCTCTGTATACTGGTGCTGGCTTTCTTGGCAGCACTGGGCTGGAAGACTGAAAAGGTATCATATATCAGGATCACTTTAACCTGCATCCTGCCCCTTGGATTTTGCCATGTTTACCCTAAATCAACATCATTCTTAATGGTTGGCACTATGGAATGTGGTTAATCCAGGTATCTCTAACTTCGCAATCAGGCACCAGTAGCAGAAATGGTGGGTCGGTCATGGGATGTATTTCAGCCACTTCTCTTTGGTCTGATTGGAGCTGAGATCACGATTAAAGAACTCAGCCCAAGTACTGTGGGTAAGAACATTATATTAACGACATATTTTAGTTAGACTTTGCTCCATTTGGCTCTAGATTCTGTTCTCACTATTTAGGCCCCAGTAATCAAAGAGATTTAACCTTCTAAGCAACACAATTTGCTGCATCAAGATATTTAAGATATTGGTTTCCTCTTTGTTGTTGTGTCTATGCCCTTAGGTCTGGGTATGGCCTGCATTCTTATTGGTCTGGTGATCCGTCTCCTTGTCACCTTCCTGTTGGTTCATTATGGAGGATTCAACCTAAAAGAGAAGCTCTTCCTTTCTGTGGCCTGGCTGCCTAAAGCTACTGTGCAGGTCAGTGAGTGTGTAATCCTGATATTAGACTGTTAGACAATTTTCCTTTTTCAAGAATAATGTACCCGACTTTATTAAAAGAACTAGAAGCACCTCAGACTTGTCCAGAAACTTCTAAAGGATCAATTGTTGGGTCTGTGTTTCCACAAACCCCGCTAGTTTAGAAACTTATTCTCGTTAACGACAAAAACAAGACGAACATCTTTTACTTGCTAGCAAGGGAGGCCCCAGCCGGTGTCTCAGAAAGCACTCTAAATCCTACCGCAGACTGACCCCCACGACGGCCTCCGCTTGCTGCCTTTTATTGGGAAAACAGTTCACACAATACACATCACAGCAAAAGCACCTCCCACCGTAAAACCCCCAAATGGTTCTAAGACAAGGCACAATGTGTGTGTATGTGTAAACATCTGTATGCATGTGAGAATGTATGTGTGTGTGTATGCATGTGAGAGTGTGTGTGTGTGTGTTTGAGTGAGTGTGTGAGAATGTGTGTCTCTCTGTGTGCGTGACTTCCAACTGTTTCTAACAACATCCTTAGTCATAAAATGGTAATCTCCCCCACACCCAATATATGGTTTCGATTCCTGTATTGGTTCACAATGCACAACACAGTGAAGCCCCAAAAGGGCAGGAAGCTTACCACACAAGAAACAGAATCTTCACAAGGGATGTGTCTATAATAATCCTCCCCCAGCACAGAGTGGCTGGAGAGGTGGTCAGAGACAAAGGAATGTCTTGATCCTATATATTGAACTAAGACCTTACAAATTTAAGAAGCACATTGACAACATTCAACAATTAGACTTAACATCCATAAAGTCTCTTAACACTCCTAAAATGCCACTGGTGTTCAGAACAGCCACTAAAATTATCCACACAAATCTTGTGTTTTATAAACCACTGAAATCACTAAATTGAATTGATTAGAACTACCTACATGGTTCCTGAATTCTTTTTATTGACTTCGAAAACCTAAATTACTACAATAATCTCACAAACATGTTCTAGTTTGTCATTAGTCATGAAACCCAAGGGCCTCTACATCTTCCTCAGTTATGACTAAAAACTAAAAAAGTACCGCTGTTTCCCTTAACCCTTTAAGACCTACCATAGAACCAAGTCCGCCAGAGCTTATATTATATTTTTACATGCTGT